TAATTTGCTTGATGCAGGAGGGAGAGTTTCATGGCTGACGTGGTAATAGTCATTGCGTCTAGTACTGATGCATTGGCAATAACGCAATCTGCTGAGCTTCAGTTTCAGCCATTCGCACAATTTTATTTCCTGAACCTTCAAAATTTGCTTCTTCTTCCATTGATCCAGGTAATGCTTAATAAGCATGCTCACATACGAGTTAAATACATGGAATAGGCCTTCCAACGTTTGACCTCCAACTGCATACTTAAAAGTGGTCCTACATCCTCAAAGAAATCCTGTAAAAACAGATGATACAGGCATCAAGCAAACATAAGATTAGACAACCACTACTGGAGAAGTCAAATGAGAAGAAAATCCATTAAACATCAATCAACCAATCCAAAACTTTTCAAGAAATATATGACCTTCAATAATTAGGGTGACAACATCCAATAATCAAAGGTATTAAAGATAAATAAACTGGGGGTAGTCAATTCTCATTAAAGAAAACCACTGGTTTTAAATGAATATTTGCTTTGGTATACCAAGGTACATGAAGGTATTACAATGTTTAGGCATAATGATGCAACATTTAAAAACACATCTCTATCCTATAAGTTCAAGATTGTTATAAGAGAACAAAAAAGAAGCAAATAGAAAATAAAAAGGGAAATTGGGAGGAACTAATAGTACATATAATAAGTAAAATGAATTGTCCATTATCTCTACAAGTAACTTCCAACTAAAATCAGTCACTCAAACAGGGCAGTTTCAAATGCCACACTAAGAAAGAATATAGACAAAATTATTCACACACCACATTTGGGAGAATAAACAAAATTCAAGCCAAAACTTGCAACAGAAAGATCTTAATTTTTATAACGAAGGAGAAAGAAAGAAGGTCTTTTGTCTAAAAGGGAAGTTACATCACAAGCTTTATCAATATCCTGGAACATCTACTCATAGAGCATACCTAGTATTGCCTAAGAAAATGACAGACAAAAACATCATGTACATTTTGTGTGCATTGTAGAGAGAGATAAAAAGACAAGGGGGAGGGAAAGGTAGGATGCCGGAGACAGTGATTCTACATTTAGAGTCAAATATATGTGGGAAAAAATGCTCACCTGGACCATCAAATGAACCGAGAGCACTACTAGTAAGCTTATGTTGCACTGCACTACCAAGAGATCCAGTGGAAGACCTTCCAGATTGACGCGACCTGTTGGAGCAAGGTGAGCACCCATCATCAGCAGCTGCCAAAGCAGCAGTGCTCTCCTCAATTCGTCTTAAATTGCATCTAATGCTTGTTCAACACTAGGACCTAAGAGTTTTAAGAGCATCGGACAAAGAGCCAAGCCACGAGCCTCCAACAGAGAACAATGACCTAAAGCTATTGAACACACTCTGCGGCAGCTCTTAATCCACCAGCAGGCCGCGAAGAAGCTAAGGCATGTCTTTTTACAAGAAGAGCAAAAGCTTCTGTCTGTTTTGTAGCCCACATCACAACAGAGGTTAAGCACGCTCCTTACCAAAAATAGCAACGAATCATAGCAGCTTGAGCAATAGCGAGAGAATACCAACTGTGAGGGGCAGCAGTATATGCTCCTCCATATGAGGTGTTTGATGGACGAAGGCTTTGCATGTTTACTGATATCTCTGGTAATGTGCATTGAGTATAAACTATGAGCACGAGGGCCATCACCAAGCTTTTAAGAGCTGATATGGCTGCACGAAGTTCAGCACCACGAGTGGAAGGTTGGCAAGCCGCTTCAGCAAGCTGATCAGCTAACCTTTGCCTGCGTTCAATGATAGCATTCTGTACACTCTGTAAAGACTGAATCACAGCAGGGTCCAAAGTTTATTTTGCTTTGCTTCAGCAACCAATCTTTCTCCTTCATAAGAGCTGCAAGAGCTTCATCGACTCTCCTCTCAGCTAACAATACGTCAAGGAGATAGGGGAATTCTACTGACCATTTTTCTATGTCAGAAGATCCTCTATTTTCAAGATTTGACAAATCACCATTTGAATCAGAAACTTTGACAGAAAGGAGTCAATGTGAACTCCCTCAGCTAAACCATGAATTAAAGTAGCTTGAGTAGATAACAGGTTTCTGATGGACGAAAGCTCCCCCTCTAAATCTGATATCTCTTTTGATGTTCTGTAAGATAAACATACTCTTGAAATCAAAAAACACAATTAATTAATCATACCCCCACCATTCTCAAAATTATTAAACAGCCATAAACATAAAATCGGTGGGTGTGCAACACCTATAGTGAAAAACCAAAAAAAGAAGAAGAAGAGCTCAGCAACCTTTAAACTGTGATAAACTAATCAGCCACGAATAACTGCTCTAAAAAAGTTAAACAGAATTCACTTCCTCAGAGATTCATCTGTGTTTGAAAAGTTATAAGATCTACCATCACTAATGCTAGAGAATTACCACTAAACTCAACGCACAAACATAACTCAAATAAAACCCAAACATTCCCAGTAATATTCAACAGGAAATAATCAACACTGACCGAATGAAGGCCGCATAATTAGCTACAATTCATGATTTTTTATATTATAATCTAACTTTTAAAAATAATTTCTGAAAAAAGAATATGCACAAAGGTGATTGGTATTTTACACTAAAAAATTATACTAATACTTAAAATTCAGATTCAAGTCTAATATCTCAATCCCAAAGTGATTCCAAATCCATTAATTTTATTTTTCCATAGGCTCTAGTTCCTCTATATCTTTGTTTATTGTATAATAAAAATTAATTAAAAATAATACTTTATTAAATTTGATATAAAACATTGTTGCTAGATCGGTATTTTGGGGGTTTTTTCTCAACCCCTAAGGTGTAATCAGAGAACAAAATTCCTCCTAACATTTTAAAAATAATATAAATTCTTGTTGTTAGTATACTATTTAGGACTTATAACATGATGAATTAAAAAAATATTATTATGCACCTTGACATTTATTTTAACACCAAATACTTATCGACTGGGAAATTCTGATATTATTATAACTGTAGGAATATTTTTGTTATTTAATAATACCTCAAGTGAGCATTTGGTTCAGAGTTATAAAAGGTAACACTAATAATCTATCTTTTAATCCGGTAATTACCATATTTAGATGTTAAGTAATCAAAGATTCCGATGATCGATCAATACCAATAGTGATTAATATAGGTAATATAGAGGGTAATTCAATTACTGCATAAAAGGGTGTTGTTTTTTTATTACCGGGGTAATCAACTGTTCATACTAATTTTACCCTTAATTAATAAACATTTTGGGCACAAATGCCCTCATATGTCTACTAAATAACAATTAGTTCAAATGTGCGAAATGACTTCTTTAACCTCATATATTAATTTTTTGGATAGAAATACTCTGACTATTTACATGGATAATACTCAAAATATCCCCAACCACCCAAGATGACTACCGGCGTTGGCCACCACTGTCGGCCACTGCGATGGTCATTGGAACGACGCATGATTGGCCAGATCTGGTTGGTCATACGCCGATCTAGCCGTTTTCAGCTAGATCAAAGGCTAGAAATGGCCAAATGGCCATCCATTATGGTCGTTTCCAGCCAAATCCATGGCTATAAATGGACACAGATCTAGCCGTTAATGGCCAGAATGGATATAGCTTTCCGACAAGATCCACAGCCATCTAGTCGTTTCTAGCCTTTGATCTGGCCAGAAACGGCCAAATCAAAGCACGTCCGGCCAAATTCGGTCAGTTATGCACCGTTTTAGCGATTATCGATGGTAGCTGGCAATTGTCTTGGATGACTGGGTGTATTTTATTAAATTTTAAACTTTTATTGTTATGGTGTTTTAGCTAAATTTTCAAATGTATGGGATTAAAAATAATATTCTAAATAATAATAATGGGTCTGTCTGTTTTATTATTTCAAACCCAATTCCCTATCTTATTCTCAAAATACCTGTTTGTTTAATTATTTGAGAAATACTATTCTATTTTTTTAGACCCCTTAAGTTTATTAATTTAATTAAACACCCCTAGAAAAAAATTTAAAAATTAATAAAAACACCCCACCCACCCATAGTTGCCAGATTCCGGAAACCACCAATCTGTCACGACGGCGTAGAAACGACTTGAACTAGTCGATAATTCGCCGATCTGGCCATCAACGACGGCCAAAAAAATGGCCGTCGTTGACCGGCAATGACGACCATATCTTTGGTCGTCGCTGATGGCCAAATCTGGCCTTTTGCGACCGTCGACGGCCAGATCTGGCCGAAAAATGCCATATTGACACACGACCAACCAAATCCAACCGGTCTGCGTCGTAACACCATTTTTCGACCAGATTTCGACGGTGGTGACCGGAATATGGCACTATGGGTAGGTGGGGGTATTTTTGTCATTTTACAAAAATTTAAATATTAAAGTGTTTAGTTAAATTAGCAAATCTATAGTGTTTTATTGTTAAATTTTAAATTTTACCTCGTAATACTCGTCATATTCAACTACCTGATATTATTCCTAAAATCTTATTCAAAATAACAAAACAAACCCACCCAATAATATTAACAAGGAAGGACAATTCAATAAAAACTCATTTGATAATATTTTATTTTTTTAACTAAATATATTAATTATTTAAATTCATTGATTTAATTAAACATATTAATATAACATTCTCTAATAATTCTTAAGATAATTTATTTCGTTAATAACCTTATCTGTTTAATAATAAAAAAATCCCCACCGAAATAAATGCTACTTGAGGGGATTGTTGTTACAGACCCTCACTTTTGCTTACAATATGAAAAAGAATTCTCAGGGAAAAGCAAGGTGTAAGGCAGTATTGGAAGAAATGAATGGCCTGATAACGACAGATCATCAGCTTGACCTGTCTTTCATGGTCCCGACTAAGCCAGGAGACCTGACTTTTTACTCATTTAATAATAAAGATGACTTCAAATCCAAAGCAGGTCTAAATGCTGTCTCAATAACGTGTCAATCTCAGAATCCAGAAACCACATAAAAATATGCATTAAAGTGAAACCGTGTTCGAAATCTCTTGGATTCATTTAACATCATCATCTTCTTCATCCTCTATTTAATCACAAACAACGACATCACATTACAACAACTACCAAATCCAGCTGTTATCTTTGTCTCTCTTTCACACTCTCTTTTTCTAGTTTCTAGTTTTCAGCTTCCTTGTCTTCAATGGCATTTAAGCCTCCTTTTTTGGGCCAAGCTTCTAACTGAGACTGGTTAGTGCTTGTAAGTTTGAAACCCTTTTATTCCTTCTGGTTTTATTTCTGGGTTTAGATTGCCGGTATGCAGTTTTTTGTGTGCCATTTCTTGCTGTTATTTAGCTTCTCTGCGTCTTTGCATGCTGTGTTTTGTTTGAATAGTGATGGGGTGGCTCTGTTGTCACTCTTCAGGCAATGGACCTCTGTGCCATCTTCCTTAAGTTCGAGTTGGAATAGTTCAGATTCCACTCCATGTAAATGGGTTGGTATAGAATGTGATAGTAAAAATAATGTTGTCTCTTTTAACCTCACGGGTTATGCAATTTCTGGTCAGCTTGGACCTGAAATTGGTCACTTGAGACAGTTGGAGACTATTTTTTTGAGTACTAATGATTTCTTTGGTAATATACCAGAAGAACTAGGCAATTGTAGTGCACTTAAGAACTTTGATTTGTCTTCTAATAGATTCACTGGTCAAATACCTGGTAACTTCAAGTACTTGCAAAATTTGGGGTTCTTGAGTTTGTTTAGCAATTCGTTAGATGGTGAAATACCCGAATCGTTGTTTCGAATTCCAGGTTTGCAGGTTGTGTACTTGAATGATAACAATTTCAATGGTTCAATTCCTAGGAATGTCGGTGACTTGAGTGAGGTTGTGACCTTGTGGTTAAATGGAAATAGGTTATCTAATACCATTCCAGAGTCTATTGGGAATTGTAGTAAATTGCAAGAGCTTTATTTGAATGATAACAATCTAGTGGGTGTTTTGCCAGAGAGTCTAAACAATCTTGAAAACCTTGCTTATTTAGATGTTAGCAATAACAGTCTTATTGGTAGCATCCGTTTAGGTTCTGGCAACTGCAAGAATTTTGATACTTTGGTTTTGTCATTTAACAATTTTAGTGCGGAGATTCCACCAGGTTTGGGCAATTGTAGTAGCTTAACAACTCTAGCTATTGTGGGTAGCAACTTAACAGGCACTATCCCATCTTCCTTTGGCCTACTAGATAAGCTTTCTTATCTTGACCTTTGTGAAAATCATTTGTCCGGGAAAATTCCACCAGAATTAGGGCAGTGTAAGTCCTTAGAAACTTTGAGGTTATACACAAACCAACTTGAAGGTAAAATTCCAGATGAGCTAGGGATGCTGAGTAATTTACAGGATCTTGAACTTTTTTCCAACAATCTAACCGGTGAGATTCCACTTAGCATTTGGAAAATTTCTAGGCTTGAGAATCTTCTTGTGTATAATAACTCTCTTTCTGGGGAGCTACCTTCAGAGTTGTCTCAACTCACATATCTGAAGAACATTTCATTGTATAATAATCAGTTCTCTGGGGTCATACCTCAAAGTCTTGGGATCAACAGCAGCTTAGTGCAGGTAGAGTTTACCAATAATAAGTTCACTGGTGAAATCCCACCAAACCTTTGCTTTGGAAAGCAATTAAGAGTTCTTAATATGGGTCTCAATCAATTTCATGGCCGCATTCCTTCTGACGTCGGTAGTTGTTCGACTCTCAAGAGACTTATCCTCAAAGAGAATCGCTTCACAGGGGTTCTCCCTGAATTTTCCAAAAATCCGGTTCTCTTTCACCTGGATATCAGTAAAAATAACATCACAGGTGCTATTCCAGTGAGCTTGGCGAACTGCACTAATGTTGCTTCAATTGTTCTTTCTGGGAACAAGCTTACAGGGCTTATACCTCCAGAGCTGGGAAACCTAGTAAATCTTGAGAAGTTGAATCTGTCACACAACCATTTGGAAGGTTCTTTGCCACCTCAGCTATCACATTGTGCAAAACTAGAAATTTTGGATGTGGGATTCAATTCGTTGAACGGTTCTATTCCATCCAGTTTGAGCAGCTGCAAAAGTCTATCCACTTTGAGTTTAAGAGAAAACCACTTTAGTGGGGGCATTCCAACTTTTTTACCAGAATTGGAGAATCTTAAAGATCTACAAATTGGTGGTAATCAGTTGGGAGGCGAGATTCCATTATCTATTGGAGGTTTACAGAGTCTGCAATATGTTCTGAATCTCAGCAATAATGGCTTAACAGGTCAAATTCCTTCAGAGTTGGGGAATCTGATGTATCTAGAGCAACTGGATATATCTAACAACAGCCTGACAGGAACATTGGCTCCCCTCGGTAAAATCAAATCACTAATGGAGGTCAATGTTTCATACAATCTCTTCACAGGTCCAATACCAGAGTCACTGATTAAGTTGCCAGACTCATCTCCATCATCTTTCTTGGGAAATCCCAGTCTTTGTGTCAATTGTCTTTCATCAGGTAGCATAACTTGTTTTGGGAATAGTTACTTGAAGCCTTGTTATCATCATTCAAGCAGTCTGAGAGGCCTTAGTAGAATTGCAATTGTTTTAATTGTCCTTGGAGCCTCACTGTCTCTTGTTTTCATGCTGCTTGGACTGGTTAGTCTGTTTCTATTGCGAAGAAGATCGAAGCAAGAACTTGAGATCTCTGCTGAAGAGGGACCATCTTCCCTACTCATTGAAGTCATGAAGGCTACTGAGAATCTGAACGACCGTTATATTATTGGGAAGGGAGCTCATGGAGTTGTTTACAAGGCGTCATTGGGTCCAAACAAAGTTTTTGCTGTTAAGAAGATTGTATTTGGAGGGCACAAGGCAGGAAGCATGAGTATGATTAGAGAAATCGAAACTGTTGGGAAAGTCAGGCACCGCAATCTGGTAAGATTCGAAGACTTTTGGTTGAGGAAGGGCTATGGTTTAGTAATGTACAGGTACATCGAGAATGGAAGTCTTCATGATGCCTTACATGCAACCAATCAACCGCCAATTTTAGAATGGAATGTTCGCTTCAAGATAGCAATCGGAATCTCCCATGGATTGGCTTATCTCCATCATGACTGTGATCCTGCTATAGTGCACCGAGACATCAAGCCACAGAATATACTTTTAGACTCTGAGATGGAGCCTCATATATCTGATTTCGGAATTGCTAAGCTCCTGGACCAGTCTCCTTCTTCAACATCATCATCAATCTTAGTTCAGGGCACAGTTGGTTACATTGCACCAGGTATTTCTTCTACATTCATTCTAGTTTTGGAGTTATCCTGTATTCAAATCTCTTAACATCAATTTTTATGATTGTCTGTGACAGAAAATGCATTTACGACTAAAAAGAGCAGGGAGTCTGATGTATATAGTTACGGGGTTGTTTTACTTGAAATGATAACGAGAAGAAAACCAATGGATATAGATATTGTGGGGTGGGTTAGTTCTGTGTGGAGCAACACCAAAGAAATCAATCATATTGTTGATTCAAGCCTTAAGGAGGAATTTCTGGATTCAAATATCCGGGAACAAGTAATTGTCATACTTTCAGTAGCTTTGGAATGTACCAACAAGGAGCCAAACAACAGACCTGATATGAGAGAAGTTGTCAAACGATTATCGACCATGAATCCGCCAGGCCCCAACGAAAAGCAAATGCAGCTAAGTCTTTAGAGTTTCTAACTCGGTGTTAGTAGTGACCTTGCCTAATAAAGTTTAGCTTTTTATTATGTGTTTACATCCTCTAAATGTTGTAGTCATAACCATGTACTAGAGATTTGATGCAACAGAAATAAAACTCTCTCTCTCTCTCTCTCTCTCTTCCTCTATTTTACAGCACAAATGCCAATACAAGTATGTATATCCCAGAAAAAACTGGTCATATATTAATCAGGCATCGGCTATCTATAATGGCTGACTGAGTTTGGAACTTTGAAGCCTGATTTCCTTCATTTCGATCTAGTTCTTGGAGTACCCGATTCATAGCACGAATGAAATTCATCGCATCAAAGGAAGTTGTTAGAACTTAAGCTTAATATAAGGCCATTTCAAAATCCATATAAATAAACATGGAGGTATCTGGCATAATAAAAAAAATTCACTGATGATTTACAATTTGGTACCGCACAACTTGGACAACCAAAGTGAATTTGACAAAAATGTATAACAGTATGTGATCCCAGACCAAAGATAGCCATAATAAAAGGTCAAAAGAAACATTGGTTGTTACTTCTAACAATGCATAGATTGAGAAGGAATCTTTGATTAAGTTCTGTAATTCAACAGGATGCAGCCAATTCATTGCTAATAGATTAGAGGCAAAATTTAAGAGAGATTCATGAACATGTAGAATTTCAACGGGGACATACTTAATCAATACAACCTACCTCTATTTCAATCAATTTCATATAGACAATCAAATTTCTTAGAAATCTAGACCCTCTTCTATATAAAATTTATTATAGGTTAACAACATTTTACGTTAAAAATAATTTTTGATAATATCTCAAACATATTTTTGATACTAAAAAGTACGGGACAAAACTATATACAATTCATGATTTTATATATAATATACTTTAAAAATTATTTCTTGAAAATAAAACAATCCACAAAGGGTTTGTGTTTTCACTAAAAAATATACTAATCTAAAACTCAATAAGTGTAATTCTCAATATGTAGGACCTGGGGGTTCGACTGTTTAACGTTAATTGGGACCCGAGACCTTCACGGTGAATCGGCAAAGGAGAAAACCATCCTCAAAATTACAACAACTCCTACTCCTTCCACTCACCCTCTCTCACATCGACATTTCTCCCTCATTCCGACGGATTCAATTCCTAAAATCACCACCAAACCCTCCATGGCCTCACCGACATCTCACCACCAAAACCCAACACCACCGACCTTAATTGCTCGTTGATCGCCGTCGGCCACCCTTAGGGTTCACAATTTTTTTTTCTGTCTTTCCCAATGCCGAAAATCACCCTTGACCCCTCTATTTGCCTCACCGACATCTTCACCAAACCCCTCTCATCCCCAAGTCGATTGGGCTAATATCACTATTAAAGGGGTGTTTTTTCTAGGATTTCAAATTTGAAGGAACTGGTGTGATTTCAGGGTGTTTGCTAATTTTAAACCTATGGATTGTCAGTTAGACAAACCGTGACCTGACTCCCTAGCCAGGTGTGCACGGTCGGGTTCCTAATCATGATCGCAATCCAAATGATTCCAAATCCATAATTTTTTTTTCATACGCTCTACTCTAGTTCCTCTATATCTTTTTTATGGTATAATAAAAATTAATTAAGAATCTTCATTAATTTTGAATATAAAACAATATTTTAGGTTGGTAATATATTTATTTTGACGGTTTTATCTCAAGCCCCAGGTGTATTGAAAAACGAAATTTCTTCTGAAATTTTAAAAATACTGAATATTTGTCATTAGTATCGTTTAGAACTTAACATGAGGATTAGTAAAAATTATCAATATGCTCCTTCGTTTGTTTTAACACCAAATTTTGTTATTACAAAAAAAAAAAAAAAAAAAAAATTTATATTATTTAATAATACCTCACGAATTATTGTATAAACCCTTATTTTGCTTATATTTATGAGAACGAATCTTGTGAAAAGCAATGTGTAAGACAGTATAGGAATAATGAAGAAAAATATACGTTTACAACTCAATCTTGTAACTTCTCTTACAACTCTAACGTGACATGAGTTAACTGTCACTTAGTTTCACCACACCCAACGAATGGTTGTTCCTTATGAAGGATGGTAGTTCCTTCGTAGGAACAACTGTTCCTTCATCCTTCCTTCAATAAGGTGTGGCCTACCTATACTATGAAGGAATAGCCTACCTTCATAAGATATGGCAAACCTTATGAAGGAATGGTAATGCCTTCATAAGGAAGGTATTTCTTAGAATGGTCATATCTTCATAAAGAATGGTCATTCTTTAGAATGGCTATACTTCAAAAATAAAAAAACTCTAAGGAACGCCTCTCTTCTGTGGAAAACAGTTTTTTCTTAGGTCAAGTAAAATCCTGCTTTCATAAGTCTAGTCAAAAATATTTGTACGTTAAGTGTGGTAAAGTAACGTGATAATGTCAACTCAATTCATGTTGGTTGTAAGAAGTTTATGAAATAGGTTATGACGTATAATAAGAAGATATTCTCTATAGGAACGATTTTTTTTTAAGTCTATCAAAATCCTTTTTGTCTTAGTGTGATGGAATGATGACAGTGTCAACTTAGTTATTACGTTAGGATATAAAATTTGTAGATAAGTGTGATGGAATGATGTGACAGTATCAACTTATACCACTTAGGATTTAGAAGAAGTTTTGAGAATAGTTTTGAGATAATTTACTCTAAATAAATGCTTGACGTGTCTTGATGGTCCGACCAACCCAGACACCTTCTTTTTACTCATTTAATAATAAAGATGACTTCAAGTCCAAAGTAGTCTAAATGCTGTCTCATAAAGTGTCAATCCAGAATCCAGAAAACACATGAATATGCATTAAAGTGAAACGTGGTTCCAAGTCCCTTGGATTCATAAACATCATCTCTATTTAATCTCAAACAACGACACACATACAACAACTACCAAACCACTGTTATATTGTCTCTCTTTACATCTCTCTCTTTAGTTTTAGTTTTAAGCTTCCTTGTCTCAATGGCATATAAGCCTTTTTCAGGGCAAGCTTCTAACTGAGACGGTGAGTACTTAAGTTTGAAAACCTTTTATTCCTTTTTTTTTTTTTTTTTTTTTTTTTTTTTTTTTTTTTTGTGGTTTAGAATGCCAATATGAAGTTTTTTGTGTGCATTTCTTATGTTATTAACTTCTCTGCGTCTTTGCATGCTGTGTTTGTTTGAATAATGATGGGGTGGTCTGTTGTCATCTTCAGGCAATGGACCTTGTGCCATCTTCCTTAAGGTCGAGTTGGAATAGTTCAGATTCCACTCCATGTAAGTGGGTTGGTATAGACTGTAATAGTAAGAATAATGTTCTTCTTTTAACCTCACGGGTTATGCAATTTGGTCAGCTTGGACTGAAATTGGTCACTTGAGACAGTTGGAGACTATTGATTTGAGTAATAATGATTTTTTTGGTAATATACCAGAAGAACTAGGCAATTGTAGTGCACTTAAGTACTTGATTGTCTCTAATAGATTCACTGGTCAAATACCTGATAACTTCAAGTACTTCAAAATTTGTTGTTCTTGAATTTGTTTAGCAATTCGTTAGATGGTGAAATACCAAATGGTTGTTTCGAATTCCGGGTTTGCAGTGTGTACTTGAATAATAACAATTTCAAGGTTCAATTCCTAGAATGTCGGGTGACTTGAGTGAGTGGTGGCCTTGTGGTTAATGGTAATAGGTTATCTAATCCATTCCAGAGTCTATTGGGAATTGAGTAAATTGCAACAGCTTATTGAATGACAACACTAGCGGGTGTTTTGCCGAGAGTCTAAACAATCTTGAAAACCTGCTTATTTAGATGTTAGCAATAACGTCTATTGGTAGCATCCGTTTAGGTTCTGGCAACTGCAAGAATTTGGATACTTTGGTTTTGTCATTTAACATTTAGTGGGGAGATTCCACCAGGTTTGGGCAATTTAGTAGTAGTTAACAACTCTAGCCATTGTGGGTAGCAACTTAACAGGCACTATCCCGTCTTCTTGGCCTACTAGATAAGCTTTCTTATCTTGACCTTTGTGCAAATCATTTGTCCGGGAAAATTCCACCAGAATTAGGGGAGTGTAAGTCCTTAAAAACTTTGAGCTTAACACAAACCAACTTGAAGGTAAAATTCCAGATGAGCTAGGGATGCTGAGTAATTTGCAGGATCTTGAACTGTTTTCAACAACTAACCGGTGAGATTCCATTAGCATTTGGAGAATTTCTAGGCTTGAGAATTTCTTGTGTATAATAACTCTCTTTCTGGTGAGCTCCTTCGGAGTTGTCTCAACTCACAAATCTGAAGAACATGTCATTGTATAAACATCAGTTCTTTGGGGTCATACCTCAAAGCTTGGGATCAACAGCAGCTTAGTGCAGCTAGATTTACCAATAATAAGTTGCTGGGTGAATCCACCGAACCTTTGCTTTGGAAAGCAATTAAGAGTTCTTAATATGGGTGTCAATCAATTTCATGGCCGCATTCTTCTGACGTGGGAGTTGTTCGACTCTCAAGAGAATTATCCTCAAAGAGAATCACTTCACAGGGGTTCTCCCTGAATTTTCCAAAAATCCGATTTCTTTTCACCTGGATATCAGTAGAAATAAACATCACAGGTGCTATTCAGTGTATTAAAATAAATAGTACAGGGTCTCAGATTTCTTGACTTATAGGGCTTACTTCAATTTCTAGCAGTGGTCTTGAAATCTAGCCATGCAAAATCTGGATTAATTTGTCTTATTACAAGCTTGATGAGGATTTATCTACTGTGAGAGATCTAATTATTTTATCCCATTAATAATAAAAGATCTCTTAAAACTAGATAATTAATGCATTAATACAATTACAAATTTACAATATATGGATGTAGGAAAGTCACTTAATAAAAGCCACAAATATTAATTCCTAACCATAGATTAAAAAACCCAAACTTGAATTATGTTTGTTTCATGCCTGGCTTCAATTACTCTTATAGGTAATGTGTGGATTCAACGGCACCAATAGAGATTACACAAAAAGCAACGATGAATATCATCTGTGTTGAGTATTCTGACAATATTTGGATTACATCGGAAGATATTTTGTTGGTTAGATCGATTTTCCTGTTTTTA